TAGTAGTAGTAGTAGTAGTAGTAGTAGTAGTAGTAGTAGTAGTAGTAGTAGTATATACGCTCAAACTAAAGCATTTACAGTCGTAAACTTTCTTACGACCACCTGTCGAAGTAGTAGTAGCAGTAGCAGTAGCTTTTGCTGTTAATGTTTTGAAAAGTGTTGGTGGTTGGAGGGGGGAGGGGGTTGTCGTTACTACTTCTTGGCTTCAAGACATGCTTGAATCGTTTTGAAGTTCATTCGTATGTTTTTATCTTTAATTTCGTATCTGCATAATTTGAAAGAGTATAATATGCACATGCACTTACCTTTCATTTCATTTCTTTTAATTAACACCGTGGCCAAGGCGTGACAACATGCGCCCGAAACAGTGGCGTGAAGTCACGTGACGTGACATGTGAGTTGAAGAAAAGCCAGACGCGCGTGAGCAGCTCACGCTGTGAGGCAGAGGAGCCGACCCCAGTGGCCAGCCAGTCGTGTGAGCTCTTGTGTCGACAGGACTGTGTTGTCAGTGAGTTCTCCGACTGGTCTGTCTGTGACAAGACTTGTGAGGTCAGTTTGTTTTGTTTGGTTGTTTGTTGTTTGTTTGTTTGCTTGATTGCTGGGGGGAGGGGGATTGTTTGATTGTCCGTTTAATGGATTTTTATATTTTGTTTGTTTGTAATATTTTATGCTGATGTGTTGCATCAACACAATTTTAGCAATTTAGGATGCTGTCTTCGACCCTGCGTGTCGGGTCAACCCAGGTTGAAAAAAAATAAAACATCTCATTGGAAAGACGTCTTAGATATTCGATAAAAATTGTCGCCACACCGGAACTGAACCCAAGTATTTTACGTGCAACGGCAGTGACTTAATGGGTTTCAGATTGATTTTTGGGATTATTGTTGCGTGGTTTGTAAAGTTTTGTATGTAAAGGATTGAGTACAGAGCAAGAGATGTGTTGTTAATTTTTAGCTATAATTTCTTCAGATTTCTTCTGACTCGTACTGTATACTTCTTCTCTCTGGTTGGTCGTAAAAGGGCAGCCCACCTCCTAAACAGCGTCCACCACCGTCTTTTGTTTCATTTATTTGTTGCCCTTTTGTTCCCCCAGATGACGAATCGAACCCGGACCAGACGAGTGATAGTGCCTCCAAGACATCAGGGTAGTGTCTGTCCCGACCTTTCACTTATGGAACCTTGTGATAAATGCACACATTCCTACAGGTACTGGTCTAATCATTCTTTGATCGTATAAAGCCTAGGCATGGATAGATGCATTTTAGAGCGAAGTTGGAGGGACGAAGGGTGTATGTGTATGGGTGTGGGTTTGTGTGTGTGTGTTTATATGTGTGTGCATGTGTGTGGAGAGGGGAGGCAAGAGGGGGGAGGCAAGAGGGGGGAGGCAAGATTTTAAATTGTCCTTGTTTTCATCTTTTTAAAATTGTTTGTCGCTCATTAATTCATTATTTAGAATATCAGATGGCAGTAATTATACTTTTAAAAGGCTGCTTTGTAGAGGCATACAATGGCGTATAATCAGTGGTAATGTTACCATATTATTTTGTATAGGCTAAGAAAAATTAAGAAAACACTGGTACATGGGTGGATTGTTCAGTGAAGCACATAATACCTCGAAATCGTATTATTTTATATATACATTTACAGAAGGGTTATTTCAGTTGAAGGACAATTATATTTATGCTTGAGCAGATATAAAAAGGCAATAATTAGTCAGAAAACTGCTCAAATCGCCAGTCAACCAATCAGGTAATCGCCTTCCTCATCTACTTGTCAATCATGTATCATCTCTTCCCCCTACCCCACAGCTACCAGTTCTCCGAGTGGCTGCCTTGTACGACCATCAGCGGATCATATCTGAATGACGTCAAATCCCATCCGCTGATTGGCTATCAGACAAGGGACATCGCCTGTTTACAGAACAAAGGAGTTCTCGCTAGTCTCAGGTACCTGCGCGGATAGTTTCGTTGTTTATTTGTGTGTTTATTTTGTTTCGAGTGTTTGTTTGTTTTTAACAGAAAATTGTTCCTATGCGTATTTTTTTCAGATTTGTTGGTACTGCTTTTTTGTTTGTTTGGTTTTAAGTAAAGGGAATGTTTGTTTGCTTTTATATGTTGTTTTTTTTTCTCCGTTCTTTCTTTTTTTAACTGACAGGAGACCAAAGACAAGGGGACGGGCTTTTTTTACGAACCATCATCTGGGAATGCCAGCTATTATTTTAAAAAACCCAAACTATTTGATTTGTCTTACCAACTCATTAAAAACACTATTTTAAGTCAATATAATAAGCTCATATTAAAGCAATTTACAGTCGTGAACTTTTTTTACGACCACCCGTTGAAGACGATCACCTGTATGAACGACCACTTACCACTTTGCATTTTTGTTCTGTATTATAATGACACTCATCAAAGATGACTACTTTTTCTCCTCGACAATGGATGGTCGTCTTTGACAAGTTTTGACTGTATTTCTGTTCTCTATGCGGCAGGCACTGCGCGGACAAGCTACCTCACACCCTGCTGACCAAGTACAAAGGTTGCGTGATGCCCCAGGACTGTCGGGTGTCCGACTGGTCATCTATCCGGCCACATAACGCGTCCTGTATAGGCTACGATGGTCAGATCGTTATTGGCTACTGGATCATGACCAGAACAGTGAGGGCTAAGTTTGATTTCTCCTTTATTTCTATTCTTTTTGTACTTTTTCAGGGGAGGGATTGATTTGTTGTTGTTGTTGTTTTTACTCTCAAATGATGAAAATCACGATACCGTGTTAAGCTGAATTGCTCAGGAAGCCAAACTTAGATAACAGTTAAGGTTTCGGGTCGAAATGGATTATCATTTATAGAACTGAGGAAAACTAAACCTTTTTTTAACAGCTAGACCTATAATTATTATCATAAACTGAAACAGATATAAAAGTAAAGATAATTATGATTCAAAGCATGGAAATTTTTGTTTTTATACCAGAATGTTAGAACTGGATGTTTAGCACATTTCCTTGACAATAGGTTCGCTTATGTTTGGAGTAAGGTTCTGTGTTGTGGAGATTCTAAGGATGAACTACCTAAAAATCCACCAGTGTTTGCACGTTTCTTCTGGGGTGTTGTTCCCATTCAGAACACATTAGCCCTTTACAGACAAGGTCAAAACAACTAGCGCCCTGGGATTACTAAAACCGTGTGATGGTGGCATTGGAAAAAATATTTTAAATATATTTATTTTTGTGCCCCCCCCCCCCCCCCCCTCTCTCTCTCTCTCTCTCTCTCAACCTTCTCTCTCTCTCTCCCCCCCTCCCCAGGTGGAGCAGCTGCCAATGGGTGATGGCAAACCCTGTCCTCCAGACCTCGTGAAGTACGTGCCCATGAGCAAAGACGAAGACGACATACACTCGCTGAGACCTTGCAGAAAGTAAATCACCGTTCATCTTCTTGTTGTTGTTACTGTCTGTTGTATCTTTGTTACGATACTGTTGATGTTGCTCTTGATATTGTTATGCTTGTTGTTCCTGTTTTTGTTACTTTTGCTTTTTCTGATGTTTGTGTTGTGAATGTTTTTGTTAGAGGTGATGGTAACGATGTAATCTGTCTTTGAGCTCCTCCCCCCACCTTTACTCTCTCTCTCTCTCTCTCTCTCTCTCTCTCTCTCTCTCTCTTTAAAAGATACTCATAAACTCATAATATTATATAGATAGAATAACATGCTTTTAAAGGAGATACGACACTGAACGTGATGCTGTGCAAATGACTCCCCAGAGCCAAATGGATCATGTCTTCGTGGAGTACGTGTATGTCCGTGCCGGGGTACAACCACTGTGGGACGGGCATGCAGAGCAGGATGGCCATCTGTGTGGAGGCGGGCGGTGAGTACACGTCATAGTGGTGTTGTCGCTGTTGTTGTTGTTGTTGTTGTTGTTGATGATTGTTTGCTTTTGTTGTTGTTGTTGTTGTTGTGTGTGTGTGTGTGTGTGTGGTAGCCTATCCGTTCGAAATGTTTGGAGCCCCGAAGAAAAAAATGCTCTTCGCCAGGGCCATCGCCTCCCTTGGGTAGCGGGTGAGGCAGTCCAACCTCCCTGAATCCTCCTCGAAGAGATGCCACCGCCGGGCCTCCGTGGCGGGGCATCTCTGCAGCCAGTACTCCAAATCTTGGGGCTCCTCGCTGCACAATGGACATATTGGGTCCGATGTTTTGTTTATTCTATTTTTGTAGGCCCGAAGCCCAGAGGAATGACCGGTCCTGATTTTTGCCAGTAATGACTGGTCACTGCGGGACATAATAAGAGCCTTTCGTTTGAAGGAAAATGCCCTGTATACTTCCTTCGTCCGCGTGTGGCATATAGGGGGGTCTTTTGTAATTAGTTTTATCTGGGCGCACGCACTGTCATAAGTAATTTGGCGGCCTGGACCCGGCAGCGCTGTTGCCAGTTTGGCATTACTGTCAGCGAAATCGTTGCCGAGGATATCGCGGTGACCAGGGATCCACTGAATCGTGGGTTGAGGTATTGCATTGTTTATGCGTAGTCGCAATTGGTCGAATGATGGTGATGTTCCCACTAGTGCCATGCATAGTGATTGACTGTCGGTGAAGATAGCGACCGAGTAGGATGCATCGCACTCTTTGTCAATCCAGTCAATGGCCATTTCCAAGGCTCTCCTTTCTTCCTCGAAAGAGCACGTAAATATGGCGCCTTTCTCCCTCAATGTCTCGACAACGGTAGGGTTGGACGGGTTCCCCGTTGTGATGACGACTCCAGCACCGCCGTCCGTTGTTCCTGCCCTAGCCGAGCCGTCAGTGTAGATATTGTACTGTGCGCCAAGCTCTCGTGCTCGACGAACAGCAGCGCTTTGAATCTTCCCACTGGAGTCACTCCTTCTGCTTATGCCGTACAGGTGGGGGAAAGTGATGTCGGGGTTGATTCCACGTTCCCAGGGCCTGGTTTCGAAGTAAGTGATGGGCCTCCTTTTGCAGTCGAACAGATGTGGGCTCTTTTTGCTGAAC